TCACAGAATGTCTGTACGTTTCTGTGTTTATTTTCAGTGTTGGTTTCGGAACGTCTTGGTGTCTGGAAGCAACTTTCTACGGTGCCATTACATTATCTGCATTATAAAGGCCGTACTGTGCACGTGCATGCATATACTTGAAACGTTTGTTAGGTGTCTAAGGTCTCATAATGGCCGACATTTCATCCATAAACGACGGTCGACATAAATGTTGTTCCCCAACTTGCCTATCACAACACTTTCTGCTCAGTAGTTTTTATATACAGTTACAACTATTACAGCGGTAATAACCACGACAGACCACACACCATTTGGTACTCACTCAAGCAGAAATTGCTGATTTAAGCATCATCAACACAGTTGTCATCAGATCGAAAAGTAACATTCGTCCTCCTATTTTTCTCACAAAATCAGCAGTACTCAACGGAAATGCATTTCAGCTTACTCCACAAGCCAGAGTAATCTCTTCAGTGATTCGTGACTTACACAAAAACTGTGCGACTTCTCCGCATACAATACGACAAACTAGTACCAGTCAGTGTGAAAAAGAACCTGTGATTAGATATGGCTGGCTCCATTGAAGAATATATACCGTTGTGTGGTTCAACCACGCCTCGTAGGCGCGTTTCCAACAGGTGGTTTCCCGCCCTCTGATTGGTCGAACCTTCAGCGCGGAAGTACAGACCGTTCCTACCATTGGTTCAACACTCCGAAGAAAGGCATTCTGACTTCAGCTTTGAACAATACAAGCGTCTGTAGTTCGTTGTTATTACAATGCACAATGACGCAATGAGCAATGACGTACAATGGAGTTTTTTTTGCAATGGAGTTTTTTTTTTCATGCTTTTATAGTTTTGCTGCGGGTGAACCTTCAACATGTTTGAAAGTGTTTCGAGCTAAGCCAAGCACGTACTAGTTTACTTTGTCCAAATTAGACTCTGAACACGAAATTTGAAAACCGATTTTCTGCCATAAGAGACAGGAAATATCCGGAATTTGAAGGCCTCTGAGGAGACGTGACCTCAAAAATATACCCCGCAGTTTTTTACAAGCGACTGAAAATTCTGTTTTCATAAGAAGAAATACCTTCAATCCACTGTAATAAGTTTACATCCATTAAATCCAATCCATTCGGTCTCTCAAACTCCCCATATCGCTTCCAGGTAAAAGCAAGCAGACAATCTGTCTGATGGAGAACTCTTCCATATGCAGGTGACCATTTCACAAATATCACTACTGTATTACATTGTCTGGAATGTGTTCGAGTCCAAGTGCCTAAAAGTGTAGCTCTCATGTTATCCCCACTCCTGCCACATTAACGATAAGATTGTCTTCACAATTTGTTCTCTGCACGTAGTGACAATATTGATGAGATTTTCGCCTCGTCTTTGGCGAACTTACCTGTGAAGTAGGTAATCACCCCCCCCCCCGAGTTGATCGGGGAAGCATGCCTAATCGGGAATGCGGGTCCTTACACCCGTGGGACAGTCAGGCGAAATTGTCAGGAAGAGACCACGACCACGTCTTCCTGGCTAGGCGACGCACGTATAGTGGAAGAGACGAATCTGGTGATATTCCCGGGAGAAAATTGCCATCATGCCACAACCAATACGTACATAAAGACAATCATTTCGAACTTTGTTTCAAGCCTTTAACAAAATTACAGTCAAATGACAGACACCTGCATGCACACAGTTGACATTGGCCAATGGTGTACTAGTCTTGTACTAGTCAAAAAAGCAGAGATAGAACGCACAGGCCGTACAAATTCTTGAACAAAATACCGTCAACACTCTGCATATGACAATTAACTAGTTTTATTGACCATTGCTTATCTGAGGGTGTTGATAGATTTTCAAAATGATATAGGGGGCCTATATTTTTCTCGTTTAACCGAATGAAATATAATCTCTAGTACATGTACATAGTTAAAATATAACAACCTTAATGTACGGTGTAAGGTAAATTGGTTTATCTTCAAAAAAATGAAACCATGAAAATTAACGCAATTAAGTAAACAAGCCCAACATGCCTCCTTCCAAGGAACACATTTTTTTTCTTTTAGAAAACCCGATGGAAACGGAATTTAGGCGGAAATATTACAGAAGTAATACATAAATGGACCTAGTGTCAGGAAGTAGGAAGATTACAAACTGCTTAATTGCAGGGTTTTGGGCAGCGGCGTGTCCAGCATTTGGTGTGTGTGGGTGGGGGGGGTGCCTCTTCTGTCTCATTCAACATGAGGCTGGGGGAGAAAAAAATCATAAGACTCACTCACAGTCCCCACACCCTTGCTTTATTTCATGGTGTTGTTTTCTTAGGGTTTCGGTGCTGATATTTGATAAATAATTATACCGATTACTTTCTTTCCTACTCACCTATGAAAAAAACTCGGGGGGGGGGGAGTTGCCCCCTCCCCCCCCCCCCCCCCCCCCCNGGGGGGGGGGGGTGCCCCCTGCCCCCCCCCCCCCGCTGGATACGCCCCTGGTTCCCGGATGTTGGACTGACTTAAAAATCACTTTATATTCCTCCGTGCGATTTTTCAGTTGAATGCACAAACCACTCAACTAGGATGTAAAAACAAACGGACTTTTGGATCTGCGCGCGTGCCGAATCTGCCATCCGTGTCCGGGCATTTCCTCGAAACGGCATCTCAGCTTCCGAATAAGGCACGGAAAACCACCCAAGCTTTGCAATTCACGTCACTTCATATGGCCACGTCAGCTCAATTGTTTTGACCGCTCAAGAAGGAGGGAAAACACGATAGCAGTGAGAGGCGGAGAGGGGAAATCTTCCATTATGCCTGACTAGTCTCTGCCAACTCGTGGTTTCATTTCCTTGCTTATGACCAAATAAGGGAGTGTTCTAGTGACGCAGTCTACGTTTCCGTCATTTCGTAAAAAAATCTGGTCGCATGCCTGAATCTGTCAAGCCAAGAAGTGAACGATGCATAAGTCGAACGACTCCTGTTGTAATTTACAAAAGACCGGTAGTGCCATCAAACATAATATATTTTTAAAAATGAAGTATATTTTTTGCGACGTCCGTTTTTAGGGGATACATTTTTTTCCGACTTTCTTTGTACGAGATATATTTTTTCCAAAGTTCGTTTGTTCGAGACACACACTCTCCAGTTCCTTCTTTTGGGATCTACATGTAGAACATTGTTTCTATTTTTTTGAAACAAATCGTTTTACGATATACCAGTATATTTTTATGCTGAAGTTTGTTGTATAAGATATATTTTTCCACATCAATTTTCAGGAAACATACATTGTCAGGTTTGGATTTTTTTCTCACAAAATCAAACTTCAAAACACATCTCTTGACAACGAACTTAAAAACCTCCCCTAAAAACGAACTTGGAAACATATATCTCGTAAGAATCAACTTGGAAAAAATATACCTCATAAAACCGAACTTTGAATATACATGCATATACTTCAGTTTTTGAAAATATATACTCCAGGGTTCTTAAGAATTTAGCGGTGAAGAATGCCCTTTTAACAGATTGCATGCATGGCGTCAATTCAACGACTATCATGCACAAGTAAATTCTCATGAAAACTACCACCCTGGCAGTCAATCTTGCCAAAAGGTCTCACAAAGTAAATTACACATCATAATGGAAATTGCACGATATTGGAGGTTCGCGCGCATACAGGTTGACACGCATCAGGGCCGACCAATCATAATTGGGAACTAGCTTTTCTTCTCTGTTTCCTCATTGATGCATATTCATTTATTCGTACAACTATATATATATAAACACAGTAGAATGACAGTTCACATGTACACTTGCTACTTTTATAATACGAGCTCATCAGTGAAGTTGGCAGGATAGATAAGTTGAAAGATCAAAATATTCGGCAACACCACGAGGAAGTAACTACAGAATATACACGAATACAAAAAATACGCTTAACACGCACACTGCTGCACCGGTTTCATATGAAATGTTGGCATGATATATAAAATGTCCCACCGACGTTAAAACATGCAAGCGCATGACAAACAAAGCTCGTATTATGTTCATTCAAACTTATATCCCATTTTTTTATCTTCTCGAAATAAATCTGGTCTCAAGCTTTTCGTTCCATGCAATCCAAATTTCAGCAGTCTAAACTGACGTTTCCAGAGGCAGCAAGAGTTGATTACTACGGGACATAATCGTTCATTAATATTGGAACTTCTACTTCCCCAGTTTACAGAACTGTTTATTTCGCCCAAACATTTCAAAGGGGCTCAAGTGTGATACACATTGCATTACATATCAGGTTAATTAATGGCCCAACACCTGCTGGCGAACCAGTTCCACAGCAAGGCGTGGAAACTTTCCTTAAAACCGCGGAGCAAATACATGGCGGGATATTACGAGATAACGCGGAATATTATAAGATTTAAACAAAATCGTCCTAAGCTCAAAAAAAAAAAAAAAAAAACCACAGCGAGAAAATAAGCATTTGCGTATTTGAGTCTTTTTCATTATACATTAATAAGAATGGATAAATCATGTTTTCGAAACTATCATGTAACACTACTCGATGATACAGTTATAAAACATATCAAGGGCAAACATTTACCAGGAAATTAAACGAAAGCCTCTGTCAACAAAGACAAAATTAGAACAAAAGATCCCAACTTCTTGTCTAAGTTTCCAACCATCTCCCAATGTTTTTAAAGAATGCTTGATACACTACAAATGTCCAACAGAAGGAAGCAACGTGTTAGTAGACCTTAAAGGTTATCTAAATAATGACACCTGTTTAGACTGCAAACAGTGATCAAAAGCTCAAGGGGACGTCTGAAAAATACTGTGGATTGGATTAAATTGTTTTGTCCGGATAAAAAGGTCTTCCTACAAACAAATATATACAGAAATGCACGTATAGTTTTAAACACAAAATGTTAATGATAACATAAACTCTTATCAAACAGCATTCAAGAAATTACCCCGTTATGTTAACTTACAATACTATAAATATTTAGCTATTATTTATGGGCTTATATATATATTAAAAAAAAAAAAACACACTTCACTGTCTCGGTATGCATGACATTCCAAAAATATCTGCATGGTAAATGGACTCTGAAAACATTCCATTTTGAATGAAATCAATTCAATTCTCCACAGAGCTTAGGGTACATCTTTAGTTCCAAATTTAATCCTTACATCGAAAATATTAAAAGTAAATCATTAAATTAAATTAAAATTAAATGAAATTCAGAATTTGAATTAATTGCAAGAATTTTAACTCGTACATTATTTTCTACTTATAGCCATTTGACTTTCCACATCGTAGCTTGCTCTAAAGCAAATTGGAATGCCAGCGGCTAAACAACTTGAAGTATAATGTGAACAATGAACGTGGCTGTTATCCCATTCTACTATCAGCCAAGGAAACAGTGAAGGAAAGCCTCTAATGGATTCAATAAAACAAAACTGGAGTCTCGATTATTTTTAAGAGTTGGGCTAATTCATTAAGGACCAATTACTGTGCAGAATACTTACACGAAACAACTATCAATATGCATGCATAGATCAACTTCCTGACTCAACATAACTCTCAGCTGTACAGAACTTTACAAATTATCTACACCGCGAATAGTCGATAATTTCAATTTTAGATCATTCAGATTGAACTATTCAGAAAAATTCCCACAGATAACACAAACAACCCCCTGTATAAGTATATGCAGGTACGCAAGAGAAATGCCCTAAATGACATTCTGAAGCGTTTGCAGCCGCCTGTGATTACAATGTACCAGTTTTCATTAACACGGCAGTGGACAGAATTTCCCATAAAAACAGTGTGTCCAATTTTCACAAAGGGTTTGAAAGGCAATGAAAACATCTGCAGCTGTGTGTGTGTGTGGGGGGGTGTAACTACCAGTTTCCATTAACACCCCAGTTGACAGAGTTTCCCATAAAAACAGTCTGTACAATTTTCACAAAGGGTTTGAAAGGCAATGAAAACATCTGCAGCTGTGATGCGGGGGGGGGAGCTTCCTCATGTGTATGGTATGGCTGTAATTATCTGCAATCCATTCCATACTTGGTAGAACTGTAACAAAATATAAGGTTGATATAGTAATTTTACAGGTGTGGGAGTTGGTATATTTATGGGTTTACTCTTTGGCAAAATTTCCATTAGGTGAAGAAGCCCAACAAAGCTATTCGCATCAAGTGTGGAACGACATCAACGATCACCAGAGCATGACAGTAAAATGCAGCTCGATGGTCCTCTGTTTTGACAGGGAGACTCATTAATCACAGTAGCCTTATGTTCATCTTGACGATCTGACAGCGAGCCAGAGACAAGAAACTGGGACTTAAAATAATTCCCGGGAACATGATATTCTCGCCAACATGTCTGTGGACACACATATGCATATATTTCAAATTGCAATCACACTGTTTAGTTCAATGTACCGCTTCCAATATCATGAATGTGGGTATTGATGTATTTTGACACAAAGTGCAGACTTAGAATATCTGTATCTATATGCCTACATGTACATCCCAATGATTTAAGAAAAAAAAAATTTTTTTTTCCAAAAGGAATTCTGGCGGTGGCTGTAGTGTTGCTCATTTACCGGTTTCTGCATGAAGAACCAAAATTCACCAGGACACAGAAACCGTTAATTTTTTAGCCACCACAGCTGCTTCCAGAGAGCAAATGAATGTGGAAAACCTTCAACAAGCAGCAGGTGTAAGAAGCCATCTGATGCATCAATCGCCACTCAAAGGGTAAGACCAGATTCCCAACATGAAAAAAGAATTAGTAACGCCCGACAAACATGACGAATCAAACATGAAAACTTGACGAGAAATACATCTGCTTAAATATTGACAACAACGAAGATGGAAAAAAAAATTACATAGATATTGCTTTTAAACGATTAGATGGGGGGGGGGCTGCTCCTCACAAGTAGTCGGGGTTGACCACAAAGCCTTTCTTTTTGGTTCCGGTGGAGCTGGTCAGGGTGGAGTCTCGGTCCTCCCCGGCAGGCGGGGAGGAGGAAGAGGCCAGCAGGTCCCCACCCGAGTCCTTGCTGCCTTTGCTGTCCTCACTGTACATGCTGCTTGGGCGAGAGGTGCTGCGGGGTTCAAACTCTTCCTCGTCAGAGCTGGCGGGGTTGACGGTGTACTTGGCTTTCCTGAGTGAGACGGAAGGGAGAGAGATATGACTGATCGCTTTTTAAAGCTTTTACTTGACTGACTGATTCTTCAACTAAGTGATGAATTTATTGATAATATGGTAAGATTGACAGAGCTAGGGATGGGGCAGGGGGGGCCATAGTCCCCTACACCAAAAGGAACAAATCATTTTTGTCTTTGACAATGATGAGACACAAAGGGGATATCCGGGGACTGTTATGCTTCCTCTCCTTCCAAAAAAGCCGAAAAGCTCCCCAAATTGGCCCCACCCCTCAGAAAGGCCATGTCCAAAGTTTATGGGGTCACTGACCAATCCCTCCCCCCCCTAAAAAAAGTTTGTTCTGGATCTGCCCTTGTAAGGTATTAAGGTACACTGATGTATATACTTTCATATACCTATGCAGGTGATGCATTGCTAATAGCAGGATACAATGACCGACAACTTAAATTGGTCCCTTACAAAGTGCCGGTCAGCCACCCAGAGTCACTTTACAGATCAGACACTCCTCAATCAACACATTTCTTGTTGCCAAGGTGCGGAACTTCAAGTCCAAACATCTGAAAACTGGTCCTATCCTTCATTCCACTCATTTTGGGTGGAAAACTCCTCTTTGCCACGGCAAACATATCCAATGAGAAAGAGACAGGTGGAGCCAACAAAATGAACAAATTTGCAGTTGCAGCTGACAACAGCCAAGTGGATATTAAATGTGCCAATTAGACGGTATTTATATGCGAGGACTGGGCACTGAACTGTGGTCTAATTTCCATGTTTCTGATGAAGGCGCTGATAACTGGCACATCAGCTACAAAAGTCATTAGCCACTGGCCCCTCAAGACGAGGTTATGACCGATTACAGTTATCTGGGGACGGGAATAAACTCTTCCCAATGCCAAATCTCTCGACACTCGCCAGCGCAAGAGTGACTCGCCGGCGTTTCGGCCCACGATGCAGCCAGCGCAACCAACAGAGCAAGACCAGATATCTTGCAGTCACAACCTCCCACTGGAAATCAGCATCGTCAACATTATGGGATTAGTCTGGGAAAACAGCGTGGCTTTGGCAAATGGAAGTGGCAAACCTGCGAATCAATAATTGACCGTTGGCAATTGAAAAAAAAATTTGTCTGACGGAAAACGGGAAATGTCAAGATAGGTTGCACTATACATCATGTTGAGAGGGATTTTTGTCGATTTCTCAGATCACGGATCTGATATGTCCAGAGTCCTGTCGGTAAAATATAGTGTAAATATGAGTGTTTTATTTTCAGCTGCTGATAACACTTTGAGAGAAAACCTTGTTCATTCAATGACAGATGTCATGTTCAAATTTATAGGGGAAACAACAGCACGTCAATCTTGCCACAAGGACAACCTTTTCTGTTGAGGGCAGAGGACCAATGCTTCAAATGTGAAAAATGCAGTGAAAACAGATCAGTGAAATGCATACGAAGTACATGTAGTGCGGCATTCATCACCACTCATGCAACCAGACTGGTATCTAACTCTTCCTAAGTGAGACTTCAGACACAGTAAGCAAACATCATCTGTAAAGACAAACGTGCTGGAGACTGAGTCCTGGATCAGATTTGAGCAAACCTTGCGGCAAGAGACTCTGTGAAAACAAACTTATGAACTGACGAGGGAAACATATGTACATATGGCAGAACGAAAAAAGTTTTTCCCAAATTTCACAACTTCACCTACTCCTACTAACTTTTCTTTTCGTGAGGACACACAAGATGGGTCTCTACACAATGTACATGGTGTATACGCCAAATAAAAACACCCAGAGACAACATATGATTCATATTTATATTTATCGAAAAAATCCAAATCTTACATACATTAACCAATAGTGCCACTTTCTGTATTTTTCAAATGAAGTACACACTATGAACATTCAGGTGAAATACAATTTGTGAAGAAAAAGTTGGCAAAACTATCTCAAACAGCAAAACATTTGAAGACAACTGTTTGTCAACCAAGTGTATGTAAATTGTTTGCCCCAACTGATGTTTATGTACTGAAGTGAGCGGTTTTTCACTTCATACAAGCTCTTAATCCAGAGAGATGTCTGCAGAGACATCCAGCACAATGTGTCGCTCTAACTTACCAAAACGGTGCTAAGGATCAAACGCTGCTTATTTACATGCTAACGACATCTGTACTTGTAATAGGAGAGAGATACGGCCATTCTGATGTAGTGCATGAGGATCTGAATCAGCATGACTAGGCGTGATGAGACCTTTAATAGACCAGCTTTATGGATGGAGAAGAGCTTCTCCCATGACTGATATTCACGACTTATTTTATCAAAAGCACCATAAAGCAAAACTGCGAGATCGAGGGATAAAGTCCTTCGGATGATGACGGGAAGCGATACGAGTAAAAAGGGGTTAAATGATTGCATTAGGGCTAAATTGGCCAGAACGGTTGGAAGGTCTGGTAGTGGCGCCGGGCAAACGTCAAGCCCTGCTCAAAGCAGACATTGCCCTGGTCAGTTCAGGGGGAAAAAAGTTGGGGCTGGCAGCAGATTGTTCGGGTTATTAAGCAGCACGGGTCTGAGCTTCGCCCTCATGAATGTGCAAATGGAGGGATGTAAATGCACTTCAGAACTGAACACGACTGACTTTTTGCCTCAATCGCTTCAATCTCTGTACTTGTCCGCAAAGTATAGCGAGATCAAACATTATCAATGGAGTTTGTTAAGCATTAGAAAGTGATGCACACATGAAACCTATCTCTAAGAAATATTTTACAGGGTGTCTCAAGCATTGTCACAAGGGACAGAGGGGGGGAACAAGTCAAACATTCTGAAGTAAGATTAAAGCCTAGAGAAGTCGGAACATGATTTGGGAAGTCTGCATATTAAGTGGGTTTCAAGCAAGCTGCTCTTCCAGTAAAGTTATCGACCCCAGAAGCCCTGGAACCAGCTTTGGAACCCCTGAATGCAAGGAAGGGACTTAAACCCTAGACCCTGCAGGGCTCAGAACTATTAATTTGGGTTAAGTTGTAGTGCAATCCAGAAGACCCAATGTCTTCTTGGAAGGAAAAAACGGTTGGGTTTGTAGACATGTACAACTGGAATGTTCACACTGAGTTTCACAATCGACCTCGGTACATGAGTAATGAGTGACGTTTCACTCATGCAACCTGTTCCACCTCAAAATCTTTGTGCACAACCAATCTGAAATCATTCCTGGACCTAGCCACTGGCCATTCCTTCACCAAAATATACCTCGTCCACTCTCAACCCAACCTACAGTTACAACTCTGCACAGAGTATTTGAGACGGTGAACATCCAAGATTCAACGGCAAGACATCCAATATCCCCTGTCTGCATGATCAAGCTATGGCCCTAGACTTGTGTTCTGCTACAGTACCTCTCACAAATATAGCTTAGCGAGTCTCCCGTCATTCTGGCACAGATTACATGTACATGTGCCTGGAAACAATCATATTCAGTTCATCAATACATCTATTGGTTGGAGCAAGCCTCAGCTTCTAAAAAGCGAGAGGGCTTACTGACGATTGACATGAATACTGGTCAAAACAACTGTCAGTTTGGGAATACTGAGCGAAATGACGTGGGTGTCATGTTTCCAGGGAGGGGGGGAATGAGCAATGTATTGCTCCCACGGAGTCTCTGAAAATAGAAGCCCGAGTGGGACAGAAAGTGGCAAATAATATTGGAAGTCAATTCAAGCTGATCAACAAGAGAGATTAAATGGTTGCATCTTGACACCAGGCGAATCATATTACCCCGAAGCTTATCTGCAGCATCTCAGATGGGAATGGTTGGTAAAGCCATCTGTTGTCTTTCCTGAAACAGAAGGACGCTGTCCAAGCAGCAGACGGAAATCGGAATAACCTCTGCCAAGTTGTCGATTGCCAGAAAATATTATGAGGGAAGGAAAGCTGAAAACTGCAGAAGAATTGTGTTCCATCAACTTGGAATGGGAGATACCATGTGGAAACAGTTTGGCTTGGATTACACGCTCATGTTTAAAATCTGTTGAGAGGGAAATGCACCAAAAACCAGATTTAGAGAGAAAGTAACAGTGGGTTGGGCAGAGGGAAATCGAATGGACTGATTCACCTGCCGTGCACTGGTGTTCATGTCAATCGACAGGTGAGTTGATGTGGTTTCTAATTGATCAAGTTGCATATCAATTCAGTTAATAATAAGGACTTGATCTGACGACAATATTGGTAATCAGAGAGCTTGGGCAGAACAACTTTGTCAAAGGTGAGGATTATTTTTCAAGATACGATTACGGGGGCCTTTCAAACTGGGTTGAATGCAAACAGCTGGAGAGGTCCGAGGATTTTGAAACATGATAAATTCCTGAGACAAAAAGTATTACAAAAAAGAGTAAAAGTTGACTTCAGATGCTTAAGTTGACTTCAGATGCTTAAGTTGACTTACTTGCTATTTAGTCCAATTATTTATGGATGTTTATTATTGTCACACAAAGACTATTCAAATAGGGAACACAGAATTGGATACTGAAATATCCAATTCCACAGAAATCTGAAAACTAAATTTTATGTCATATTCCAAGACTTTCCAGGAGTAACATACGACAATTTCCACAACTTTTAATTTCATTTTGAAAAGAAAACTGTTTGGAAGCATGAACGGGAACACTGCCAAAGCCATTACTATGGACTGACAAGGATATAACCTGTGATTTATCGTTATTCTGTCATCACATCAAATCCGGTCCATCAAATATGACCCTTGCATCATCTTTAATATTATCAATGAGTTTCCATGCTTTCACCATGGCTTTTCAGGAAACTTGCTCCTCCAGATTGTTCAGCGTTTTCCATGGCTGCCGAAACCCTGAATATCCAGAAACAGATTAATATGGTCAGGGTTAGGTAAGCAGAGGGGACAGTGGCTCAAGACACGTAAGAATACGCATCGGGCACCGAGACAGGTGTAAGACAGATGGTGGACGGGAGTAATACCAACTGCTTGCTGTGTGT